TCCCTCCTCTCTCTCTCTCCATGAATCCGTGTGGCCAAGCGACGCTGCTGTTGGGGGCGATCAGTGCCCGCCGGCCCCACGGCCCAGCCACGACGCCATCACGGGCCGGCGCCTCCCCCCTCCCCCGCCTCTTCCCCTCTACTCCATCCCCACCTTTTCCCTAGTGGAGAAGAGAAGAAGGTCTCCTCCATCCCCAACCCTAACCCTAGAGGAGAAGGGGAAGAAGGACGCCTCCATCTCTGCCGGAGAAGAAGGAGAAGAGGGCGACGTGAAGCCCCCCGCCGTCCCCAGCAAGCGTACGCGCGGCTTCCTCGCGACTAGGCGACCCTGTCCGCTGCCACCGCCCCCCTCACCCCGCCTGTGGCTACTGGGACCTCCCACCGAGCCCACCTCGCCTCGGGCGCAGCCGCCATGCTCTCTCTCTCCTGCTCCGGCGGACGGAGCTCTCTGCCACGGCTCCCTCTCCTACTCCCCTCTTCCCCGTAGACAATGGTAAGTTCCTCTGTAGCAACCAACAAGAGAGGATGACATGTGGGTCCTACTCAGAGGGCAAAGTGGGCATTCTACACGATTGAACATGGTTCTGAAGCTGAGAAACACAGCTTCAACTCTACTCAGAGCCAACTCCACCTGGATTTATAGAGTGGAGCTGTTTTATCTGGAGTTGGAGCCATGCCAAACATGCCTTAGTAGGAAAAAGAAGACCCCACCCACCCGCACCGTGCCGTCCTCCCCACCCGAACGCTGCTCCCTCGAGCACTGCCCTGCGTCGCGGGATCTCGGTCAGCGCCCGCCCCCAACCCTTACCCTAATGGCGTCACACCCCGGCACAGCGGGATCTCAGTCCTGGCCGGCACCCAATCGTTGATCTAAGGCGAAGCGACGTCGATCCGTGATCGGGCAGCATCAATCCGAGGACGGGCGGCCTTGATCCATGGTCTGGCGTTGTCGATCCGTGGTCGGGTACCCTGGATCGACGACCAAGCGACCTCGACGGCGGCGCGGAGAGCCCCTCCTGCTCCTTCCTAAGGCAGTGGCCGCCATGGAGGGCCACCAGCACTCAAGCCCCCAGGTGAACCCACATCCCGTCGTGTCTTCCCCTTCTGGGCGCCAGTCCCGACTCGGTGACTACCAACCTCGGCACCCTGCGGCGGCGGCGGCGCAACCTAGCAGCTAGCGCGAGCAAGCGACTGAATGGGGGCAGGACAAAGGTATGAGATCCGACTAGTAGATCGGGTAGTCTCCTCATCTGCCCTACGGCTGGTAGCCAGCAAGCAATTGGTAGATTGATTTCGAGGTCCATAGCCATGCGTTCTTTGCTACTGATTACTAGATTGATTTGTGATGCGCGAAGCGTGCCTAGGATGCAGAGCACCTGTTCTGCAAGCATCTGCCTTGTGTGAATCATGTAGATTTGCATAGGAAAAGTTCACTATTTTTTTTTGCCAATTACTCGTCAATGAACTAGTTTAGATTGCGGTAATAGTATGGCTCACCTAGTGTTGTTTAGATTGCTTGGGCTGTGACGTCACACATACATAAATGAATGATGACTCCTTATGATGAGAAACAAGTTTTACTAGTTGTATGACGTGCCATCTAACTATAAAAATATGTGAACACATATTGCTGATGTTGAACATATAAAGATATGCTTGCGACACAGCTGTGATGGGATCATGCAAGGCAGCTGCATGAAAGAGATGGTTTGTGACTACCAACTTTTAATTTTAGATGCAAGATAATAAAAACAATCATGTACTGATTCCATCCTTCTGTCAATTGGAATTACACGATCGATCATATATCTTTTATTCTAGGATGTAGTAGTAGAGTAGAGCTAGCCGCCAGCTAAGGACCTAGGGTACTGTGTTTAATTGATATAGCTTGTTATTGTATACAACTTTAATTTGCATATTGTGTTGGATGCTAAAGATAATTGGAGTAGATTGTGCATGCCAAATGTGGCGATGGGGTGGGTTACAGGCTATTTTGTTTTGTTTTGTTTTGCAAAGTCGTATGGCTAAAGGAGCGGATGTTGAGGAGCTCTCCACCGATCTCCCGGAGCTGTGGAGATTAAAGTTGAGGCGACCTTGTGGAGGGGCCATTGCCTCCCTTGCAGATTCCTGCCCTCGCATCCATGGCACTGATTGATGAGACGAACCTGCCAGTGCTACATCTCGACTTCCACCACAGAGGCGGTGCAAATGTTTCTTGATGAGATGAACCTACCACTGCTACATCTTGACTTCCAATGCAGAGGAAAGGTTCAAATGTTTCCTTTTATTTTTTTTCTCCATTGCATTCAACCTATTCGATAGAATGGCTGAACCATGAGCGACATGGAAGTAATGGCAGCTAGCTTGGTTCTGAAGAGGTTGTACTGTTTTTTTTTTTTTTTTGAAAATAACCATGACAGCACTACTGTTTGCATTCAGATTTTCTGTGGTAAGAATCACAAGTAGTGTCTTTCATTCATCACTCTGCAACTGGAACCAAAATAACTGTATGCCAGAGGTGACGATAATAGGAGGCAACAGAACTGAATTTTTTTGAAACATTTTTTTTTTTCATTTTCAGAACCATTGACTGAACAAACTAAAGCACCTCAGCCACTGCATACTGTATGCTCCTCTAGAGACAGATATATCAAACAGCTCAAATTGCAATGTCCGAACTTATTGAATTAGATGAAGCACAAATTGTTTGTTACTCAGATATAGCAAACAACTCAATTTAAAATCTCAGAACTGAACTACTCAAATGCTTGCTGCTACTGCTGATCCTTTTGTGCTTGTACAAATAGATGCTCTATGATACCTCCCCTACTTTTATTTTTTTTCACAGTCGCTTCTTCAGATACACCAGACATAAAGGAAACTTGTAGCGGTCTACAGTAGCGAACTTTGAGGAGCTGAAAAAGGTAAAGGAAAATTCTTGTTGATCTTTCTGTCCGCATGCATTCAACCTTTTTATACCTTTTGCAATGTGCATGTGTGTATATATATACTGTCACATAATCCTCTGCAAGAACTGAAATGGATTGGTGTGCCATCAACAGAATATGTTTATAGTTAGAAATTCATGGGTTGGATTGGTTCACAACAGCTGATGAATAAAACAAGAAATCAGAAAAGAAGGTAACAACTACAATATGTTATCAGCCAACCTTGGGCACAATTCTTATGTTGTCAAAATGCCTTTTTGTGCTGTACTTTATCATTAATGATTTGTATGCGGCTCCCAGCAGGTCGTCCTGTTCATTGAGTACTTGCTTTAGTACTAGGCTTTATAATTTTTAGTTCTACTTTTGCTTAATTAAATTGACAGCACTCCTTCCATAATTTTGCTTAATTCTACTTTTGCTTAATTCCAACCATGTTCTATCCGAATCTCTTTACATTCTGTGCATGAAGTAGTAAACCTAATATTTTCTAATATCCTAATCTTATTCTTTTGTTCAGTAGCTGTACAAGGTTTGAGTGGGAAGCAAGACACAACAGAGGCGATGACATATTGCGCTGCTAGGAAACCTCGAGTGCTGCATAGATGTTAAAAAGTCTTGTACTGCTGCAACTTTTAAAAAGTTGTGAAATAAATAAGTGAACTGTACACTCGTTTATAATTTTAGCTACTATTTTAATGGTTTGAATGATTGATTATAATTAATATATGTGAGTGCAATGGCTTTTGTTATGGTTTATTGTTATTGCAATAACGATTTATTAAACCACAAATCAAATGCTACTAGTGTTGCAATACAAACTATGGCAACGAGCTGCTATGTGTGGCAATACGATCTATGGCAATGAATAAATTTTTGTGGTAAATGGTATTATCGCCATGACATGTCTACCGTGGCAATAACATGACTCTTGCAACGAATAAAATTGTGTGGTAAATGATAATATTGCCACGACACAGCGGCCGTGGCAATAACGTATGATCTCTCGCAACGAATAAAATTGCATGGCAAATGGTGTAATTGCCATGGTATGGCGGTTGTGGCAATAACACCTTACGTAACAAAATTCTAGCGTGTCAATACAAACTATTACAACGACGTTGTTTGTGGCAAATGTCTCTATTGCTACGCTATTGATCGTTGCATGTACCACCTTTTGCTACGAAGACGGGCATGACAAGTGCTTATATTGCCACGATCATGAACGTTGTGACAACGTCCTATTGCCATGCTTGGCAACGGACATCTATGGTTGCAAGAAACCCCAACAGTTGCAACGCCAAACTAGCAATGGTTGCAATACCTTATTGCAACGTGACTTTTTGCAACCATTGGCAATGAACGCGATTTGGTTGCAACATCTACCTTTTGCAACCAAATTGGGCCTATTGCAACGTTTTTTCGTCGTTGTGCAATGGTTAGAAGTTAGTTGAGTTTTTGGCTTGAGTCGACAATGATATGTGATTACTAGTTCGTGGTTTTAGCCAACAGTGATAAGCACCTTCATCAATGTCGTTAGGAACCCCAGTCATTTTCGGATTTTCAACTTACCGGCAATGAAGGGTTAGCATTGCCGGTTTGTAAGCAGCCAGCAGTGATGGGCGGATAGTGAAGGTCAATTTTGTAGCAGTAGTGGTAGATCTCTTCGAGTATTACAACTTTGATATAAATTTTACTGTACTCAATCTATTTCTAGAGAAGGGCCAAATTGCCAATTCATGTAGAAATCCATTTCTAGAGATAGTTGGAATTTCTGTCACTTTCAGAAATGCCGCCATTTCTAGAGGTGGCCGGCAAGCTGAACCACTGCATCTAATATCGGCACTGTACAAATAAATTATAAATATTTGGTCTCAGCTACGATTGTTAATTTAATTAATTCACACATCAAACATAGGGGAAAATGTTGGTTCAGTGAATCACATCCTCACATATCCTGGAACTGAAAGTGACACTAATTTGGCAGCATCAGTTATTATTGGATGATTTTCTTTTCTGGGGGAACATATACCTGAGCATGTTTTGCGGTAATTAATTAACTCGGCAGTTTGACACAGGGAGTAGCAGACAGCAAGAGGTCTGCTTTCCTCCTAGCAGTGATCCCCATGGTCTCGGTCATGTCCATCTCACTAGGAATGACGCCCTCTGGCAGGCTCCAGTCAAAACAGAACAGCAAGCTGGCAAGACCGAGCTCTACATTGGCCAGACCGAATGCCATCCCAGGGCAGATCCTCCTCCCGGCGCCAAACGGGATGAACTCAAAGTCATTGCCCTTGAAATCTCTCATGTCAGCGACAAACCTCTCAGGATGGAACGTGTCCGGCTCCACCCAGCAATCCGGGCTCCGAGCGATGGCCCAGGCGTTCACGAGCACCATGGCTCCCTTGGGCACGTCGTAGCCGAGTATCCGGCACTGCTCCGTGCATTCCCTTGGGATCAGCAGCGGCCCAGGGACATGCAGTCGTAGGGTCTCCTTGATGACCAGGTGCAGGTAGGATAGCTCGCCTAGCCGACCTTCGGTTACCTTGGTTTCGCCCATGAACACTCTCCTGACCTCAGCCTGTGCCTTGTCCATGATGCCTGGATTCCTCATCAGCTCAGCCATCGCCCACTGCAGCGTTGTTGTCGCTGTTTCGATACCCCCTCCGATAAGATCCTACATGGAGTACAGTTTATTTCACACAGGAATTGAAGACAATAATTAACATTTACATTAGCAAATATCTCCTGAAAAAATTAATATTAGCAAATTTATAAACACTCACAAATATCACTGCTTCGATTATCTTCATGGTGAGAGGGAACTGAAGGTTTCCTTCCTTCTGGATCCGGAGGAGGACGTCAATCAAATCCTCCTCTTCCTCTTCTTCTTCAGTTGACCTTCGTTGCTCCAGGTGCTCACCTAGCACTCCATCCACGAAGGCGAACAAGGACTCGCGGTAGGCTTCTACCTCGCGTACCGCCCGGCGGCTCAGAGCGCGAGCCAGCCACGACGACGGGAACAGGTCTCTGGGCGTGAACCCGCTGGCGAGCCGGACACCCTCGTCGACATAACGCACGAACGTGTCCCTGTCCTCGACCTTGAACCGCCTGCCCAGGATGGCATGCAACGACGCGTCGGCCACGTACATGGCGACCAGCCTACCGAGGTCCACGACCGGCGGCGCTGCTCCTGCCGCGGTGGACGAGAAAGAGGACGCGACGGCTCGGACCAGCCGAAGCGCCTCCTCCTCGCGGGCAGGCCGCAGGGACTGGACGCGCCGGGCGCCGAGCAGCTCCATGGCGCAGATCTTGCGGAGCTGCCGCCAGTGGTCGCCGTACGGAGCCCAGACGATCCCCGGGCCGTCCTTGGTGACCGTCTTGATGCCGAAACTCAGTGGCCTCGTCGAGAAGATGGCGTCGTGGGTCTTCATCACCTCTTTCGCGGCCTCTGGCGTGGATGCTACGAGGACTGGGAGCTCGCCGAACTTGAGGAACATGAGAGGGCCATGGCAGAGCGACAGGTCCCGCAGTGCGCGGTGCACGAGGGAGCCGCGGAGATGATGCATGCTGCCGATGACGGGGAGCTGCCATGGGCCTGGAGGGAGCTCGAGTCCACGGCGGCTACCAGATCCGAAGGGAGCTTTCTTCCACAGCGATTTCAGAAGGAAGTACACATGTGGAAGAAGAGCTAGAAGGCAGTAGAACACACCGTGGTCCATGATCGCCAAACTTGGTGCTTTGGGTACTACTGTGTGCATCTATTTTAGCTTTGGATACTACAAGTGGAAGAGGTACAAGACAAGTTGCATTGCTCATTATTTAATGCGTTCCTTGTTGCTAGCTGCCGATAACTATACTATAATATACAAATCTTCTTGGTTGCTTCCTTCATACTTTTGCTCGCTTACCTATATATAATTATATATAAATAAAGAAGTTAAATCTCTGGTTCAACCACTCGATGGAACTACGTCTTATCATAATACTAAGATGCATAAGAGATTTTAGGTATAAATATTGAGGCGGATTTTTAACTGTTGCATGTGAAGAAATCCCCTTCTCCCAACCTTATTATCTTTTATTTATTTACAGCTTCACTTCTTCCTATACCCACCCAATCCACCAGTGCTACTTCTATGGAGACCGATATGCCACGACTGGTTGCACGCTGATCTTCACGTTGCCCTGCCTGCCCCCCTTCTCCTCGGCCCACCGTTGTCTCCCTCGCCTCCACTGTTGTGTCGCGGCCAACGCCCCCCAAATCCCCTCCTTAGTTCTAAGGCCACCGACGAATATAACCTAACCTTGTTGGAACCCTAACACCGGCGAGGTCCTCGTCTCAAACGTAGGCGAGCTCTTTCTTCTTCCTCTCTAGCGCGGGCTCCTTCTTCTTCCTCTCTGGCTTGGGTGCGGGCGTGCGTCGTGCGCTTGGCGTGTCGCGCGTAAATAAGTTTCCATACTTCTTTCGCTTTGACGTTGCGGCCGCGATCCGCCGCCTCCTCTACCACCAGACTTCACGGCTGCCTCTCCCACGCTAATCCATCGCCTTCATATCCCACCCAACCGCGTCCTTGGCTGCCGCCTGTCACGCCAGCGGCCCAAGCTAAGGCGCCCACGAAAATGTATAAGAGTGACACAAGAACAAAGACGCTAACCTCTAAAAGCCTGGCCGAAGGCAGCGCACGAGAAACAGCCAAGGCGATGACCTCCGAAGTTAGCGAAGAAGCTACGTAGTTGAGCTCCAAATGCTAGCACACAGCCAGGGAGTGAATAAGAACACCCCACCCACTGGCTATTTATAGGATACCACGAAGAACACGTGCACTATAACGGCAAATGGTGTACGCGTCTGTAGTCCGTGGTTGTGACTTGTGAGGAAGCCATGTGACAGTCATCCTGAAAAATCCATTTGAACCTTAAAACCAGTTAATTAAGGGCCTGTTTCCATCCTAAGACTAAAAATTAGCTCATCTTGTAAAAATGGATTAAACATGGGCTAATTATGGGCTAATAAGAGCCAATAGACTCTAACCACCAATTAGGTCCCATTAGCGCTTATTATCCCAGAATTTTTCCACATTTAACATGTCTAATTGATATGCCAAAACAAGGGCTAATTATTAGCCCCCTGGTCCAAACATCCCCTAAATTGAAGTTCAACTCCATCACCCATCTCGCAGCTTGTTCGTGACCTTTGAGTGAGGACGCTGTTTTCGTGGATTCACTTGGCAAAGGCAGAGAAGTTCATCCGTGAGGGGCCTACTATTGGGGGACCATATACCTTGTGGGGTCCCCCTTTACATGCACAACTATGACCTCACCATCGGCGTGAGCCAAAGTGTTTGTCCTTGCACGAATCCCGAAGGACCGGGGTGACATTGGAAGGTGTTTCCAAAATGGTTGCATTGTGAAGACCATTTTGGGAGCACTTCGAGTAAGTAGGCGGAGGGCGCACCACCACCACTGCTGACCAGAAGGAAATTAACACAAATATATATACCCGTGCGATCTGAGATAGTGACTCCTTTCCATGGCGGCTACCAGATTCAAAGGGAGTTTTCTTCCACAACGACTTCACAGTACACAAGTGGAAGAAGGAATAGAAGGCAGTAGTACGGACCGTGGTCCATACTAGCCAAGGTGCTTTGGTTAGTACTGTACGTGTGCCGGTATCGTGGATTTGGATGAATTAGCTACTTATTGTGGATACCACAAGGCAAGTTGCATTTGCTCATTAGTTTTATGTTGCTGGCTACAGTGGCAAAGCTATAGCGAAATTGAGAGGACACGACCATAAATAGATAATAGAGGAACTTAGGAAAATAAGTATAAGTGTATGTTTGATTGAGTTGTGGTTGTGGGCTGGGGAAAAGATGTTGTGGGTTGTGACATGTGGAAAAGCCGAAAGTTATTTGGTTGAACAAGTATAAATTACACCTCCTATCTTTATCTCTCTTCAAATAACTATGAAAGAGTTCTTTATTCCACCAATGTTGGAAATCAGAAAGCCAAAAGCCAAAAACAGGGTCTAAGATGCTTTCAAAAATGTACTACGGAAAAATAGCTGCTTCTGAAAAAGCAGCCTCAAAAAGCAGCCCCTTTGTTAGGCTTTTGGTTTTTGGAAAACAAAAAGACCCCCAAAGCCCAACCAAACATACCCTTAAGTAATATGGTCAAAGAGCGTTAACATAGGCAAACTACATTATTTGACTTTAAGTCTGAACTTCCTTGCGTTCGGATAAGTGACTTGTGGCAGCCGAAATCGATGGAGCGGCTGAATGACGCCCAGGCCTGCCACCGGGTATTGATACTCATTATCCAAATCCATACCCACATGTTAGTTAAACACGTAGGATATGGGTAGAAAATTATGTACCCGCTCAGGTATGGACAATACCCGATAAGACGCACGCGGTATAGACAGGGTATTTGTGTTTATCCTGTTTATCATTCCCCAAGAAATTTCACCATCTCATCAGCGACCGCACCCGGTCCCTGTGCCCGTCCCTAGTCTGACGAGAACCTTGCTCCCAGCATTGAATTGCCGCATATAAGGTACATGCATCTGGATCTGGATATCCTCTATTTATTTGTGTAATTTTGCTTCTTCCCAAACCCTAGAGGCAATTTGTTGAATCCACTGCGATTCCGTGCACCAAGCAGCCAAGATCCGTTATATGCTTTAGTACCATGTAGACGCATATCCAAGCAATTCCTTTCCAGCGATTGATTCGTTTTGAGCTATCGTTGTACAAGATAGCTCAATTATTTTGTACAAGTTTGTTATCTTTTAGCTCAGTTGCCATTATTGTACTATTTGCTTCTTAGAATGAATGGTGATTGACCTTTATTTACTATCTTTGGCCATCAACAGCTGTAACACCCCAGCTAGAAACACCACTAGGGGCTACCCACCAACAACTAAAACTCACTATGACTAAAAATATAATTGGAAATTTTGGCAGAATCTCCCCTAAAAACTAGACATCTAGGACAAGTAAGTCCATGATCATGTATTATACAGAATTATAAACAATAACTAAAGAAAAGATGAAAAGCTCAACTTCAGATCGGGAGTAGAAGAATGTTCTATAGAATAAAGTACAGGCTAAACTTCAAGAATATACAAGAGGTCGAAGTGACACCCTTAGAGGCGGGTGAACTAAGGGACTGTTGGGAAACCTTCTAGAGGACAGAACTTCCGCAAAGATTCCATGAGAGAATGCAGAAGGCCAACAAGGGGACAAAGCCCGAAGTGTCGACCTCCACACCGAAAGTACCTAAGAAAACCAAGAAAGTATGGAAGGTGAAGCAACTAGCATCGTCTACGTCTACTTACACTGGATGATGGATCAACAAAAGATGTGATGGAGAAGAGTCACACTCACCGGACTTGAAAGAATTTATGGATGGCTAGAGGGTGTAAATAGCCTAATTGAATTTTCTACAAGCTCACAAACACTAGGCAAAGGTGTTAGTACAAGAGATGACCCTTAAAGCCACTACTTGCCTAGCCTATGCAATGCAACGCAAGCCCCCTACACAATTCTAGTTGCCAGAGCAAGGACTTCACATAAACAAGCAACTAGAGGCTCCACAAAACAACTAAGAGGTAGCACAAAGAACAACTAGGTTGCACTACTAAATAAGAGAACTAGCTACAACAACTACTAGAGATCTTGAGCTACGAAGCAACAACACAAGCACAATGTATATGAATTGAAATTGCAAGTGTTGAAAAGCAAACCAACAGAGAAAGTGACATGATGAATTTTTCCAAGGTTCGGTTGCTTCCTGGCAACGTATGTCCCTATTGACGTGGATCCCAAGTTCACCGCTTCACTTAGAATGTCGGTAGAACACTAGGGACCTCTCCAAACCACGATTGATTTCACTATAGTTGCTCTTAGTGAATCTCCCGCGGGGATGAGCACAAAGCCCATCACAATAGACAAAGACTAGAGACACCAACAACCACCAAGATTTTCTCCACGGTCCACCACAAGCACCAAGCCGGCTAGGTGATGGCAATCACCAAGAGTAACAACAAATCCACACTCATAAAGATTACCTAGTGCCACCAAATGCAACCTCAAATGCACACACTGGGGTTTCTCCAACCTCTCACAAACTAAGCTTAGAGAGGGAGAAGAGAGGGAGGAGATGACTTGAAGCTCACAAGATCAACACGTAGTGCTCTCAATCTCTCACTTAGGGTTAGCACAAAGGTTGAGAGAGAGAGGAGCGAGGAGAGCTTTTTGCTTCAAATTTGGATCTCAACAACACAAAAGGCATCTTGGTGATCTGAAAGTGTAACTACCATGTTCCCTCAAAAAAATGTGTAACTACAAAATTACATGAAAAAGAATGTCAAACAGTGTAACCAGCAAGCTAATAAGTAACTGGAATAAGCTGTTCTCTGAATAAATAAATTCATGGGCAGTGTAGAGAGCCTTGCTCCAGGAAACGGAATTTAGACACACGCGAGACAACAGGAAACTGAAATTATTTAGTGCAATACAAGGGCAAACTTTGACTTGATTGTAGTTTTGACGAGAAATGTTTGTCAGTGGAGCTCGTCAACCACCATTCAGGGATAGATCAACAAAGATTATTACAGAAATAGTTTTCACCAATAGATCTTTATTGTCGATTTTATTGGAACCGCCGATGATAACATATCACCGCCGGTTCGTAATAAATAAACCAGTGGTGAAAG